AAATAAACATTTGCATTTGAATGCAAAAATAGTACAATCAAATGTTAGGAGTGCGTCATCAGTGGCGATGATGTAAGTGACGTTGTTGCATTTGAATGTTTTGTTAGTCTAGCCCACGAGACGCGCCGCTGCTGCGTTATTCATTCAAAATATTAGAGAAATATAGAAGCTCAATGCGGAGAAGATCTTGATTAGGTTAAAACCGAAACCAAGCCATTCACACAGAACGCATATTCAGCGCATTTTTAGACGGACAAATACGACTGCTGCACTCGCGTCTGAGAGATCAAGAGATTTATAGAAAGCCATGCAAAGTTAAAACAGTTTAAACTTTTAGAAAACACGTCGCAAATTTGTGGAGGTTTATTCCTTTTCACTGCGTCTCATCACTAAAATATAAGTTTATGAGATTTGTAAATTATTCCATTCCTTTTTTACTCACAATTTGTACAGTGTCCCAACTTTTTTGGAATTGGGTTTGTATTTGCAATACTGCTGTACTGGTATATTGTACACCACCCTTTTACAGATGGTTTCATTCCTTCTTTTGAAAGTCATTATAGCTCCTGGATAAAGTGTAGAATCTTTGTACAGGTATTTAAAGTGATAACTTAACTGTTTAAGCTATAAGGACATCAAGTGGTCAGGATATTTACTATAAACTTGAAGTTTGTAGGCTTAGCTTTTTGGGGTTTGCAACCAAAAGACAAATTATGGTTTGAAAATCAATGTTTAAGAAAAAAAAAAGGGAAAAAAAAGAGATATTAGAAAAATAGATAGAAAAATACAGTTTTGCCCTCGAGTTAGTATTGTAGAAATGTCCATAACCCAAATTTCCACCATTTAGTGCCTAAACCTTTAAAGAAGAGATTTGTGGATTGTGGTTTGCAACATTTGTTTGTATGAAAGAATGTATGAAATAATGATTTGGGCATGTTGTTCATCAGATATTGACTCAACATTCCTCTTTTTTTCTTAAAACTGCCAATTAATGAAACCTTCTTGGGCAATATTGTTGCCTTTCTTGAACCTGTAAACTTTGTTTTCTGTCTGGTAGGCACTGAGCCATTCACTTTCCCCTCTTTGTACAGGTATTTAAAGTGATAATTTAACTGTTTAAGCTATAAGGACATCAAGTGGTCAGGATATTTACTATAAACTTGAAGTTTGTAGGCTTAGCTTTTTGGGGTTTGCAACCAAAAGACAAATTATGGTTTGAAAATCAATGTTTAAAAAAAAAAAAGGGGGAAAAAAAAAGAGATATTAGAAAAATAGATAGAAAAATACAGTTTTGCCCTCGAGTTAGTATTGTAGAAATGTCCATAACCCAAATTTCCACCATTTAGTGCCTAAACCTTTAAAGAAGAGATTTGTGGATTGTGGTTTGCAACATTTGTTTGTATGAAAGAATGTATGAAATAATGATTTGGGCATGTTGTTCATCAGATATTGACTCAACATTCCTCTTTTTTTCTTAAAACTGCCAATTAATGAAACCTTCTTGGGCAATATTGTTGCCTTTCTTGAACCTGTAAACTTTGTTTTCTGTCTGGTAGGCACTGAGCCATTCACTTTCCCCTGAAAATGTCTGGAAACAGCCAGCCTTTGATCACTGAGCTGAATTTGTTTTCCCATCATGCATCAGTGCAGTCTGCCAGGCAAACCTAGAAAGAAAAAAAAACCTTTTAATTGCCCTAACTCCAAGTCTCAGCCTCTAGGATCAACTTTATATTTGCTTACTTACAAAGTACACCTTTCACCAGTCCCTAAGTTATTACTTGTTCCGTTAGGTGTTCAAAGTTCTTCTCAGAAGAAGACAGTTGAGTTCTAATGAAGGCCAGAAGCAGAAACACTTCAATGTGTTTCCTATCAAGAGACTTGCAGTTGTGGCTGAAATTCCAGGACATAATAAAAGCCTGTCTGGACTCAATCAAAATAATCAGGCCACCAAAGAGCCAAATTAAGAACAACTGCAGCTGGATGCTTTGATGAAAATTCAGAAGCTTTGTAAAAGCATTTTTAAAAATTGATTTGAGAGTAATTGAACAGAAGGTGGGCATTTTCTTGCCTGTATTTCCCTGAGAACTCATGCTGGGAAGTCGGTTAAACTTGCACTGGAAACTATACCTTATCCACAATGAACAGTCCAGGTGTGGTTGCTGTCTGACTCAGCACAGAGGGGGATGTTTTTTAAGCAAGTTATGTTAGTGTTCAAAGAGAAGCCTTATTAAAACACACTGTGCTCCTCAAATTATATACTATCATTAGCCTCACAAGTAACCTCACCAAGGTAAGCAGGTCCCCATCCTTACTTCTGTTTTAAGATGTGCTGTATGTGTCAGTAGGACTTGTGATCACACTTGATCTCTTAATCTACTTGCTCCAGTAGCATAGAGTTCTTACAGCACTTATCAGTACATCAGAACATGTGGATACCTTAATATCTGCTTGAATACTTTCAACAGAGACTGTTGTGTTCTGTCACTAGTTGAGGTTAAGTTTTTGTAATGATGGCTTCAAAGGTAGCCTCATCTTTTGTGTTATCTTGCCAGAAAAAGCATGTTAAATCATAGTGGAGGAGGATGGCACGGTCATCACTTTATAATACATATACTCTCATAAAATCCAGCCCTCCCAGAGACTCTGCCTTTCAGCCTGGGACATCAGACTCGACTTTGAACCTCACCAAACTTTAAGGGATTTGTATAATGAATAATTTAACAGAAACAATATCTGAAATTTTACTCTTTTAAATGTTTGCTTTGCCTGTGTTGTAATGTCTTAACTGTCAGAAATGTTTCAGATTTAGTGGTATGTCTCTTTTTCTAAGCAGAACCATTTTTTTTTATCTCGTCTATCAGGGTTTCTCCATTCTGGTTTATTTTAATCATGTTTTCTAAATGTCTCTTGGGACCATAAATTGGGCTTAGACCTGTGCGTACTGTTGTCTTCTGTTTAGAGTTTGTATCTGAAAACAAACCTTTGCCCCGGTGTAATAGAAAAGCCAGTTACATTGTGCAAATGCCAAAATGAATTCACACTTAATCATAAACACAAACATTTTTTTTGCCCTGCCCAATCCAAGTTAATAACTAAATAGTATTAATATTCATTATCATGAAGTTTTGATGATACATATATATCTGCTGTATGTTTAGTACATGCACTAAAGTACTATTTGGCAGATACCCCTTTAGAATGTTTGTTTCCAAAAATATGAATATCACTTGTGTCAGTGTTCAAAAAGGCTTTTTGGAAATTGTGGAATAAGTTGTTTAGACTAGATCATCTCAGTTAAAATATCATCTTCTTCTAACCATCACTTGCAAGACATTTAGTATCATGTTGACTTGGGTCTTGTAGAGTTTCATCTAATTTGGTTTCTGGTTTATTTGACTGCACTGGAGTGTAATGGGTCATCACATATAGGTATTTCTCACCTATTTCTTCTTCTCTTTTGACTTCGTGAGTCCAGCGGAATGTGATTCTGTTGGTTCTCTCTCTGTTCAGTCTGTACACATATTTTCTGTCACCTCAATGTTAATGAAGCCTCACCTCTGACCTCCACTCACACCCCCACAGTTGAACAGACTGCTGTCTCAGTAGTAGTCAGATATTTAATGTTAATTTAGCCACTGAGCATACTTAAAGGTATGGATTACTCACCCTCAAGTTGCTCCAAACCTGTACCAGTTTCTTTCTTCTGTTGAACACAAAAGAAGATATTTTGAAGAATGTTGGTAACCAAACAGTTGACGGTAGCCACTGACTTCCATAGTTGTTTGTTTCCAGTCAATGGCTACCGTCAACTATTTGGTAACCAACATTCTTCAAAATATCTTCTTCTGTTGAACACAAAAGAAAGAAACTTGTACAGGTTTGGAGCAAATTGAGGGTGAGTATTATGATGACTGAATTTTCCATTGTGGGGAGTACTGTCCCTTTAATCCCTTTAAGTCCAGTCAAACTTAAGCTATTAAATAGACAAAGTCTTATATCATCCTGTTTTACATTGGGAACGCACAGTTTATACCCAGTAATTTTGTTTATATAGAGAGAGAGAGTCTGGAATCACTTCTAAAACCACTTTGATTGTACCTTCTTTTGCTTTTAAGTTGACTGCATCATTTTTGTTTTCTTGAACAAAGACTTACCTTCATATCCACCATTTTTGTGCCTTACTGTCCCTCCTACAGACATAGTTCACTCAAACAGGCCAAGTATTTGGATCTGACCACTGGAAATATTTTCGTTTTGGTAAAAGCAAGGACATGGTACAACACGTGCGTGTGCGAGTCGAAAAACATGTGTTGTGTGTCGCCATCTGCTGGTCACTGCCTGAACTGCGTCTCTTTTGCTGAAAAATCTTCTCTTTTTTTGCGTTACTGTTCATATCTTGGTTCATCTATGTGTATATCCATTAACATTAAATACATTTAATAGAAATCCAAAACAATACGAGCTAAAAAGCAGATTTCTAAAGAAATGGGCTCGACATAAATCTGAAGTCAGTCGTGGTAGGACAGTTTCAGCCTCATATTTATGCCTTAATGCAATAAAGTTCAGTGTCTAAATGATCCTCATAGTACGATATATTAGTCAGGCAGTCAAACCACATTTAAAGTGGTAGTTTAAAGCCATTTTAATACAAAAAAACAAACAAAAAATATATATGTGAATATTGTCTAAATTGTTTTTACTGATGTCAATCGTTTTTTTTTAAAACATCCATAATAAAATTCAGAGATGGACAAACGCATTTTGTTGTTCTTTCATGCATTATTTTAAGCGATCAGAGATCTTTCATGAACAATTTTGAATTAAATAGTTTAATAAATCATCATTGGACAGGAAACGCCAATGTCAGCTAATATAATTAAATAATAAAAATATTAAATTATTAAAAATATAATCTATCGGTATTTCTGAGTTTGACCCTGCATGTCACATGACCAACATGTGGCCGACCCGTTCTCTGACTGGCTGTTAAACCCGCGCATGCGCACATGCTGCTCTGCGTTCACTTGCACATAAACAAGAGCAGTGCAGTGGACAGCGAAACATGGAGCATCGCTTTGACCGCGCGGCAGCGGTGCTGTCACCGCTGGAGGAGTCCAGCGCGGAGGTGAGCAGAGACAGCGGCATCGTGTCCCAGAGCGCCAGCAGCCTGTCTATGGTGAGCGAGGCCCTGAGCAGCGGCACCGTGTCTCAGAGCCCGAGCTTCGGCGCTGCAGTGGCCCCGAGCCCGAGCTCCGCAGCCGGAGAAACCCAGCCGGAGCAGACACGAGACGACGAGCTCCTGACACACACCGCCATCACTTACTCCTCTTATATCAGAGCCAACGCGGAGGAAGAGGTGAGGGCCTTTTGCCACGTCTGTTTAACATATAATAATGCCCAAACACCGAAGTAAACAATAACATCAGGACAGGAAGAACTTCAGGATATATTATACAGCGTGGCTAATATATCATTATAGTATTGCATGTGTCAAGCATGCTGTTCTGAATACTGGCACAGCTGTGATTTGATCAGACTACAGCAACAATGTTAATGTGCTATTGAAATCTAAACAATAATTTAATATCGCTATTACACTGGAAACAATAACTTGTGTGGGTGCTTAAGATTGTGATTGTAGTTCTGTGATATTCCTTGTAGTGATGCAAAGTCCGATTCATTTCCGCGAACCGGACAGATCGGCTCATTGAACCGGTTCTTTTCGGACAGATCGGCTCATTGAACCGGTTCTTTTCGGACAGATCGGCTCATTGAACCGGTTCTTTTCGGACAGATCGGCTCATTGAACCGGTTCTTTTCGGACAGATCGGCTCATTGAACCGGTTCTTTTCGGACAGATCGGCTCATTGAACCGGTTCTTAAAGCCGATTAATCGGTTCCTGACGTCGTCAAGCAATAGCGTCTCTACTGTACTTTACTTTTAGTCAGACTTGTCCCTGTTTGTTACTGAGAACATTGATAAAGATTTTTCTTTACTTTGGGAAAAAGTTTTGTTTGGAATTGTTAATGGGAAAAAAGAACATTTACTGAAAAACAAAATATACATACTTAATCTTCTTATTTTATTAACCAAATGTTATATACATAAATGTACATTTTCAGGTCAAAAATCACTTTTTTACGTTTTGCTTGCTGAATTGCAGCATTACTTTGGGACTATCTTTAACTCGTGTAACAAGAAGGCTTTAAAAACAATTTAAATTTGTAATTCTTTTAATCTTTTCCTTTGATGTGATCTTTTGTGATTAATTATATACCCGTCTTGTACCCTGTAGTTTTATTTTTCTTGTTGTTGTTTTTTCTTTCTTATTATTTCTTTTGTTCTACATTGTGACTGCTTTTATTTTTGTCTATATAATGTCCTTAATAAAAAAAAAATAAAAAAAACTTTACTTCTAGTCATTTAGCGGACGCTTTTATCCAAAGCGACTTACAAATAAGAAAAAGTAATTGAAACTAAAAGCTAAAACTCTATAAATACTATATATATACACAAACGTTTAAGAAAATAAATTAAATGACAAATGCATACAACATTTCAAAACTAAAACATTTAAATGAAAACAGCTAAAAACTATTCAAAAATATTAAAAGAACAAAAGGTAAGAGTATAATAATGATTCTAACATAACACTAAGCCAAACACACATACATGTACATATATATAAATACATTCTCTCTCTATATATATATATAATTTCATTTCCATTTTGTATGTTGAAGTACTGAAATAACTCAAATTAAATAAAACTAAAACTTAATAAAAAGCCTATATAGACATAATAAAAAAACGAATAAAATGACAACATTACTACAACTGTAACTAAAACTAAAATAGATAACTAATACAAAACACAATATTACAACGTACAATTGCACAAAAGGCTGCAAACAAACAGCGCGCATCTGAAGTGTCTCTGAAGGAAATAATGCATTATTTATCGGCTTTAAGATATCGGCCAAATTTTCTTATCAGGCCGATACCGATAACAGAAAAAATGAGCATTTATCGGCCGATACCGATATGGTGGCCGATATATCGTGCATCCCTAGTTTAGACGCGCACTAGAGGCGGTTTAGCCAATCACAACACACTGGGCCCAGCTAATCAATCAGAGCCCATCGTGTATTTCTGAGGGAGGGGCTTCATAAAAGCAGGAAATGTTCAGCGCGTTCAGAGGAGAAGGGACAGAGCGGTAAATTATGTGAAAAATAATGTTTTTTAACAAACAAAGCATTAACACATGTTAAACTGCACCCCATAAACACAATCAAGCCTATAAAAAAAACAGTCAACCACCCCTTTAAGTTAATTGTGTTTGTGGTCACAGTTTCATTCGCGGATCCTCAGATACGACTGACTGACTGATATTGACAAGCCTACAACTTGGATAAGATTCCTAAAAGTTTCGCACCTACAGCACACATTACAGACATTGATGCACAAACGCGGATATGTTCTACATGTCTACAGTATAAAGGATGAATAAACCAGTCTTAGGGTGCTTTCACACCTGGCTCGTTGTTTCGGAACCTGTCGCGCTTCCCCCCCCTTACCTCGGTTCGTTTGGGCATATGTGAACACGGCAATCACGCTCGGATCCG